GTGCGGTAATAGAGTTCCATCCAAAGACAAATAGAAAAACAGCAAACTGAGACAGCTTGTTGTTGTATGTTTATTTTTCTAATTTCCCACTGACAGCTCAGTACTGTTTCCTGGTCTGAAAAAGACAAGCATTTTGGACCTGAGATGTGTATAGCTATTTCTACGCTTACAAATCACTTTGTGACAAAATAAATCTATTAGATAAATTAATCTATTACATTTTTGATAGTTTTCATTTCTTTCTGGGATTTAAAAATCATAAATACACAATTGAAATGAAAATATATGTATGTACACTGATGAGGCTTCATATGTAGAATATGTGAGATGGATGGATGATGATGATGATGATGATGATGATGATGATGATGATGATGATGTAATTGGCCTTTTTCCCTACCAAATCCATCAGCAGGAGACTTGATGGTAAAAAAAAGTGCAAATTAGATATTGTCTTTGTGATAAACAACAATTACAGCAACCTAATAAAGGAATCAAATACTACATACTTAGTTTTTTTTTTATTATCTCTGTCTTATTCTATGTGTAGTTCGTCCATATTTAACGTGCAACTTGCATGCTCCCTCTATTAGAGCATCACACAAGCATATAGCTAATAAATTAATATGAAGAATGAATGAATGAATAAATAATATGTTTGGGTCATTTTAAGAATTTCCATGTCAATTTGGATATTTCTAAGCAATTCTAATGAATATATGATAAAGGAAATTTCTTCAAAGACCTGAGAAACAGTCAGAAAGTTTTTTACACTACACAGCTTAATGCTACGCATTTCTGATATTTTCTCTTTTTTTTAAGAGTTTAAAGTTGGCACACAATGCTGCACAGTGGGATGTTCTGGAACTGTCCTTTCTCCAAGTCCCCTAAGTTTCTTCCCACAGTGCTAATTCATGCTTGTTAGGGTTAATTGGCTTTAGGAGTGAGTGTGTACAGCTGTCTTTCTCATGCTGGGAAATATTAATAACACATGGGCAGAAAAAAAAAATGATTTTTTGTACCTGCTAAAACGAATAAAGAAAATGTTAAAACTGTCCTATGTATACACTTAACTTCATATATTACAGAATGTTTGACATCCTCAGATAAATGTTTTTTTGTTTTTGTTTTTTTTTATCAGATGGGAACATTTGTATTCCGGCTAGATGAATAGAAGATATTTAATACTTGGTGACTGATGTCAGCTGTAGTAGAAGTGTAATGTTAAATATCTTATCTCTTTAGACAGTGAGCAGAATAAGGTTGCTTCCTGTCAAGAGGATTGACAGCTGCTCTGAAAAAAGTTTGACATTGACATGCCTTTAGGACCATGAGAGATGTCAAGAGATTATTTCCATCTTTGTCAGGCGGTTAAGGAATTTTATCGCTGCATCGGCAGTCTACCTTCTGTCACAGCAATGAGTAAAAGTCAAATAAAAACGCATAATCATCTCCTGGAAGTCAGCATGTATTCTTTATATATCTGAACCTATTATGTTGAAATTGTAATAATTTTGTTGTTTGATAGCTAACGTTTGGGTAATCCATGGGGTCTGGATTTTTTTGCCAAACCTTCATAATAAAAGTGCTTGCAGGGATATGTAGAAAAAACATTTCAGATGCATAAATGAATGTAAGTGTAAGCTGTTGTTTTTTTTATTGCTACAATAAACTATATATGTAATATTTGAATGATACAAAAAAGTGTGATTTATTTCAAAAAGTTATATAAATAATTGTAGATCCAAAAAATTAAGACATACAGCTAAGCATTATTGGGAAGATTTTCTACACTCTTAATTTTACTTTTTTTTCTCTAGATTTCTAATTAAAATTTTTTTGTGTAAGAGTTACTGAATGTTTGAAGACCTTCATACTGTATATTGACATTCAAAGTTTTTAATATTATATTTTTGATATATTGTCTGAAGATTCAAACTTGTCATTAAAAATTAAACACAGACATTTAAGGTAAAGATCTCAATCAACCGCTTATGTTGATCAAGTGGTCAAATACGTACCATCCTGGCTTTGCAGTCAGAGGTCACACAAAATCATAGAAAGAGCCACTATTTGCCTAGTGGTTAGAGCAGTGCGCTTGTGCTCTGAGAAGGTTGCAAGTACTTGGTTTGGTCCCCACATGCTCCACTCCGGGCTCCTGAACAAGACCCTTAACTAAACACCGTCACGGTCTTGGTTCTCTTTAACTTTTTTTTGAGTTTTTAATTTCACTTGACCCATGTTTTTCTTTGTTTTCTAGTTTTATTGGTTTAATTCCTATTTTGTGGTGTTTTCTTAGTGTACCTAAGTTCTTAGGTATTTCTTGATTGCCCTCTGTTGCCCTTTTGTGTTGGTCTCCTTTTCCCTAGCTCCTTTCTAGAATCCTCTGTTCACGCCACTACTTCCGTCGGTAGGTTTTTGATATCAGTCGGTCAATCTGAAGCCACCAGCTTTAGTTCCCCTTCTCACCAGGTCAGTTTCCCTATGATTTCAGTCGTCACCCGCTGCAGTCAGAGCTCCACCTCTCGAGGAGTCTCATTTATGGGATATCTTTCATGGGGAAAAGGAAGACCTTTTCCCTTTCCTGCCACATCCATCAGCTAATTGTGAGTTAGCAGTTCCTGAGTCAGAGCACCTTAGCGGGTTAGTTCCCTTAGTTTTAGAGCCCTTTTGCAGCCCAGATCCAGAGCTAGAGCCCTTTAGCAGGCCACATCCCAAGCCAGAGCCCAACAGTGGGCCATTCCTGGAGCCAGAGCCCACTAGCAGGCCAGTCCCGGAGCCAGAGCCTACTAGCGAGCCAGTCCCCGAGCCAGAGCCCACTAGCGGTCCAAAGACCCCTGAGCAAACCCTGTGCCATCCAGAGACCCCTGAATCCCAGGACAGATCTAATGGGGAAACTGTGAACTATGAAATGTGCAGGGATGTGAAACCTCCAAGGCCCTCAGAGGGCCCAAGGTTCCTGCTGCAGAGACGGCATCCTCCAAGGTTCCTGCTGCAGAGACAACGTCCTCCAAGGTTCCTGCTGCAGAAACGTCCTCCATGGTTCCTGCTGCAGAGACGGCATCCTCCAAGGTTCCTGCTGCAGAGACGCTGTCCTCCAAGGTTCCTGCTGCAGAGACGCTGTCCTCCAAGTTTGCTGCTGCAGAGACACCATCCTCCAAGGTTCCTGCTGCAGAGCCGGCATCCTCCAAGGTTCCTGCTGCAGAGCCGGCATCCTCCAAGGTTCCTGCTGCAGAGACGGCATCCTCCAAGGTTCCTGCTGCAGAGACGCTGTCCTCCAAGGTTCCTGTTGCAGAGACGCTGTCCTCCAAGTTTGCTGCTGCAGAGACACCATCCTCCAAGGTTCCTGCTGCAGAGACGGCGTCCTCACAGTTATCCTCCAGAGGCCCTCCACCGTTACCACTGGCCTCAAGGCCTGCCTCCAGGGACTCTGCCTTGTCTCTGGCCTCACGGCTGGCCTCCAGAAACTTTGCTTGCCCTCACCCACCTTTGGTGGTTTGTTTTCTGTTTCGATGTTTTTGATTTTTGTTTCTTGTCCTCCTTCCTGGTTCCCCCTCCACCCGTCCTGAGTGGGTTATTTTGTGTTTTGGACTTTTGGACGTTTCTGTTTTATTCTCCCATATATATTCTCCTTGTGCAGTTCCCCAGTGGTGGTTCCTCGTCTTTTCCGGGCTCACCACATGAGTTTTCCCCTGAAGTTGTCTGGTTTTTGGTTTCTTGTATTTTCTACTTTAGTGTTTGGAATTTTGCTTCAGAGGTGAGTCTTTGGAGATTTAACGAAATAACTGCCTCCTCACTTCTGCATTTGGGTACTCAAAACCTCAACCTAACGGTAACACACACTACTCCCCAGGTGCCGTACAATTGCAGATCTATTGATCTCTCCAGTGTTGAATCAATAAAGTTCAATTATTACTATTATTATCATTTATCATGTAGGAGCTAAAAATGTTTGCTTTTTTGATATAAAAAAGTATTTTGTCTCAACAAGTCAGCAACAGTTTTTTTCAACATATATCATTATTGTGATCAAGTTTATGTTGTTCTGACAGATCTTTCTACTCATGACCTTATTTTGGCATCTTCCAGCTCAGCCGTGAAATCCACCTTATGCTCTCCACTCTGCTCCTGTTTTCAGCTCGTTTGTTGTATAACCGCAGCTTTCTCCTGGTCGCTTGTTTAGCTCGTATTGGGTCACAAATGGCACAGCTGAATTGCCTATTGTTCTGTTCTCTCTTGTTCACTTTCTCTCTTTGAATCCCGTGCTCTCCTGCTTCATGTCACTGTGCCCTAGTCTTCTCTCTGTTAATTTCAGCTAAAATCACTGGGCTGTATGCAGCCTAGTTCAATAGAGCCAGGGCAATAGCTAAAACAGGCAGCAGTGATCTAATAAAATTAAGCTCCAAATGCTGCTTGTATCTAAACTCTTTCTGCTGGTTAGTGGTTTTTATAGAAGGGAGACAAATTCATTATTGGTTAAATAGATCTGACATAATTTGACATGAGCCACCACAAATGCCGACATCTAATATAGTTTTTTCTTTCTCTATCTAAAGCTGAAATAATGTAATTTAAAGCAAATTACCAAAATTATTAATTTTTTTTCCAAGTGAAGTTTGGAAGAACTCAGCATTTTTTTATTCATGATCATGGGTAATAGAAGCTTTTTTTTATTTTGATGTACCTCTGGAGAAACAAAGTGACTGAGATAAAATCTACATTTTGGTTAAATGTACTGGAGATTTTTTTCAGTGAGAAATGTTAAAACAGAGATTACATTTATTTGAATGCCTTCTCTATTAACTCTTTTGTGGGACTAGTATTTGTATAATAACCTGTACTTCTTAGTTTTTCTTGTTGTTTACATTTTTAGCAAAATGGTTTTGAAATATATCTTTAATATCAAAGCTTCACAAGATTCTACACTTTTTTTCAACAGGTGCACTAACTATTAAACTAATATTAATAATAATTATTATTCTTAATCTTTTTTTTTGTAGCTGGGCTTCTACGTTGTTGTTCAGACATTGTACACACTGGGCCACAGTTTGTCTCTGATCGCCCTGACCACAGGGAGCGCCATCCTCTGTCTGTTCCGGTAAGACCATGCTTTAATATGTTTGCAGATAAACCTTAGATCCATTTCTATAATCCAGAGAGCTGACGTGCTCTACTTTCTAGTAATAGTGAGAACACAAGCAGCTTATTTTGGATCAGCTGCAGCTGTCTGGTGGACCTTTTTAGACAAAACTATGAAGACACTGTTGCCGTGATCACTTCTACTAAAGATAAAGGCATGAATGATTTTTTCTAGATCCTGCTTGGACATTGGTCATTTAATCCTGGAAATTCTTTCAGGTGAAAAAAGGTTGCCTTTATGAGCCTCTGAAGGTTCAGGTGTGAGTCCATCATGACACAAAGATGTCAGCCATAATCATTGGTTTCTAGCTGTAGTAGCTGAAGCTGTGAGCTAACTCTGGGTGTTTCCTCCTCTTGTCTGAAGCTTATTATCTAGTTTGTTTTTATCAGGATGAATAGGATTTCTGTCCATCCAAATATTGGTCTGCCCATGTGTGTCGTCTGCATAGTTATGGTAACTCATTTTGTTGTCTGCTATAATGTGACCTAAGTGTAGCATGTAGATATTGAATAGTAAAACTATAAAGGGAAAATGGATAAACAAGAATGTTTTTATTATGCAACAGTAAGGTGGATTAAACAACTGCAGAGAGGGAAACCAAAAGGTGGGCAGATGATATAAAAACAATTTTAACCAAAACTTTTTGATATCAAAAACCTACAAAAAGTTGTTCTAATAGGAAATCCAAAGCAATGAATTACCAAAGAAACACAAATAAACAGGCTAGAGGTAACAACTGGAAAATCTGACCAAACGCTGACAGATAGGTTAATGCTGGAATGATGATAACCAAACACGGAGAAGAAACCCATACTATGAGCAAGCTCAACTTAGTAGAATTACTCTCAGCTTATCCACTTTAACCAGTTCACAGCAACACTAATCAGGGGCAGCGATCATGATCTCTGAATGTGCACATATGAAGGGGCGGGTTCAAGCTAGCAGACCAATCAGAATCATGAGCACAGAAAGGAGAGCACCATGTTCCTGCTGCGAGAAACAAAAACTCATCTTACAGAAATAACAATATGGTGAAAAAGTCTCAATGAAAAGTCAATAAAAGAGAAAAATATTATGGCAAAGGACTGCTGACTGTGTAAATGCATAGTTTACACATCGTCTTTAAAAAAATTCTAGAAGATCAAACAGTCGGGCTGGTAAAAAGTTTCTAAGGAAAACCAACTGATTGGATAGAGTTGTTAACTTGCAGGGCAAGCTCCTACTGTAAGAGCATGTAGAGACGGTTGTTTACATTAAAACCTCCTGCAAGAGTTCAACTGGCATTCAGAGAGATAGACACAGGCGCAAGAAGAACATACAGTAGAAGCTGTGACCTATAAATGCTTTCTACTCTATGTAAGAGTGGATAACAATAAATTAGCTCCATTGGTGGCTCTGTATGGGAAAGAAACACCTAAGGAGATTAGCTCTAAGACAGTTTTCATGTCAAAGAGATGAAGAGAGCACCTACAGTTAGCTGCAATAATGGTAAGCCCATGTCTAGTAAAGAAATAGGACTAAATCCTGAAAAACAGGCCCGACTATCATCTATAATTGAAGGTGTTGATGGAAGCAGCCCAACTAATATTTCTCCTCAGAATAATGCCATTAAGAAGAACAAACCAGAGGAAGCTACTATGACGAGAAAAAGCAGAGAGAGTAGAAAGTTAGAGGTTGAAACAACAAATAATGCAGAATAAAAGAATAGAGATCAAATAAAGTAGAAAAAATGGGGGAAAGATAAATAATTACAAAGAATTAAGCCACCAAAACCAATGTCCTAGACAGGGTTAAAAGCCATTGGGGATTCAGAGGATTAAAAGCAGAAGCTGAGTCAATCTTCCTAATATGTGAAGGTAATTCGCTCCCTAGCTGTGATGCAATCATGTCTTCGCCCCTTATTTTTTTTAACAAGCAACAAAATTTTGAAATCAACACAAATTCTGAGCAATATAAATTACTGCTAAAACGGGAGGAACGTGCTTTGATTGTTTGGTACCAGTTAAAAGATGAGCCTTTGTTTTGGTACAGTTTAAGGCGAAATCTGAACTTGGTCAGCTTGATAAAGCCAAGTATTATGAATGAGGATCATAAAAGTTTTATCGTGTTGTGTGAAGTGAATCATCACAACGTTTGTTTGTTTTCATAAAGGCTACGTCAACTACTAGCTTTGCCAATAAAGCTATAATTTAGCCCCTAACTACTAACTGTCTGCCGAATGGATCCTCTAAATATGGTGTCTTTTTTTCAAATCGTCCATCTGGAACAATGTGTTTTTTTGTCTCAACAAGTCATTTGTTTGAGCTTAACAATGTTTTTCAAACCTAAGTTTAAAACTAACCATTTTTCCCAGAAAATTTTGCCCCAAGAAAGATAAAATAAATATTACCCCAAGCAAGCAACCCTGCAAATTGATAATCAAGACCTCTGAATAATTTCGAGCCGTTCTAATTATCTCCTTCAATACACCTTTGGCTAATAATTTGCCCTTTGTCATTGTCTTTGCTCTCTAAGTTCTTTGTCAGCATGCTGCTTTTTTAAACATCACCTTTTGTTTTCTGTTCACTCTAAATTGGTTACAGTTGGCGATGAAGAAATGACTTTAAAAACAATCCTTTGAAACATTTCTTGTAAATGCTGCAAAAAACTAAAACTTCATTTTAAGATTAAAAGAATTTTTTATTTCAAACTCTGCACTGAAGTCTCCGGCAATTTATTTGTCCTTCCATAATTGGCAGATCAATACAGCCTGAGGAGAAGCTCCCAGTGAGTTTAATTGGATTTTAAATGAGCAAGCTCTGACTCACTGACTTATGGATCACATTTGCATTTCACAGCTTTCTCAAATTGTCAGAATAGGTGGAAAGTGTTTATTTTTGCTGGTCAAACTTAATTTTGTTTTTAAACAAAAAAAAAAAAAAAAAAATTACCATTAAAAACTTTTTAAATTTTCCATTTCATTTTTTAAGACAATATTTTTATGATTAAGGGAAAATAATTAACCTTAAAGGAAAAAAAAAAAAAAAATGACTTGCAAGATGTCTTTCACATCAATGAATGGATGCAAGTCACTGGTTATCCTAACCAGTCTGACAGTATTGTCAGTATTGTACTTAAAGTGCCTTGAGATGACATTTCTTGTGATTTGTGCTATATAAATAAATTTCTTTGAAAACTAAATTGAATTTCTGGAGATATGATAAACATTCTGTAGACCATTAGATTCTGCATAAAAACTGCTAACATCAAAGGAAAACCTTTGGATCATTATTGAACAAGTTATTCTATATTGAATATATTTTGTTGTCATGCACTTTTCAACAGGAGGCTCCACTGCACCAGGAACTACATCCATCTCAACCTCTTCATCTCCTTCATCCTGAGAGCTGTGGCCGTGCTGGTCAAAGATGCCATCCTCTTCAATCGAAGCTCGCAGTGCTCCAACCAGCCGTCTCTGGTGAGGTCACAACTTCTCCACCTCCTCAGCTAGGGAAGCATGAGTCATTCTATAATTCAGGGTTATTTCAGTGAAACATTTACAGAAGATATAAATAAAGGATTACCATTGTTTAAGCGAATAGTGTAAATCTGAAAAAGTTACACGCTTGAAAAAAAAAACATATTATATCAGAATGATTACCATCACTGCCTTTGATCTAACGAAATGTCTTGGACCATCATGATACAAAAGTTGAAGAGAGGAATGTGGCATTAAACTTCCAAAAATAAGGGGCCCATCATCACTTTCATTCAGAGGGAATTGCTCTTTTTGAAGGGGCATGCCAGAAAAAATAAATACTGAGCTTAGCTTTTTTTAAGCTCTCCATGCCAAAGCAATACGAGAACAGCTGTTAGCAAATGTCAGACAGGAACTGAAGGTAAACCGGCTTCCATAGAAGATTCTGCTATCAAAACGCTGACCCGAGTATTCACTGCATAGCACAATATTCTGTGTTTGATTGGCATTCTGCTGATTGTTGTAAAGTGTGTTCTACATATAAATCTGAACATATACGGGAAGTCATTTTTGAATATAATCCATGTCTTTGTTTTTGGTTTATAATCCATTTCTTCCATTATGAGTTCATTTTGCCACCAGGTTATGATTTTTGTTTTAATTTCTGCCGTAAGGAAGTTGTTCTTTCAGAACATAGCATGTTCTAGATTAGGCTTTCTAAGTTACGGCCCTCAAATGCTGTGTTCGAATCCGGCGGCTACGTCCTCAGCATCCATTCTTTGCCTGCTTTGTGAGTCAGCATGGTTGCTAGGTGACAGAGCGTACGCTGAGTGAGGGGCGGTGACAGCTGGAGAAGGCCGAACTCTTCTGGCCTCCTTATTTTCACAGCCTTTGAAGGATCCAGTCCATGTATTCTGGTTACTTCGGAGGAAGCAGTCACAATTATCAAACACAGGAAACTTCTGGTGTCCTGCACATATTAATTACGTCTCTGCTTCCACAACTGGAACAGATTATTGGATCACCTCCTCAGCATTAAGTATACTTCTCCAGAGTTTTGCTACTCATCTGATTTTTTGAATCAGGTATGTTGAAGCAGAGATGCATCTAAAGGGTGCAGGACTCTGGCCCTCGAGGACCAGAACTAAGGAAGCATGTTTTAGAATCTATGTAATTTTTTTTATTTAATTAAATTACCAACTTAATCAATGATATTTAGATCGCAATAAATGTGATTATTTCAGCCATACTTTCAAAATGTATCTTTTATCTGAAAACACTTTTCCAATTCACTTTCAAACAGGGTGGATATGAAAGAAAACATTGTACACAGTTAATCAAGCATGCATTCAGTAATGATCCAGTGTAAATAAGCCTTCTGTGAAAACCTATATTCCTGTATGTTTTGTCATGCCTAAATATTGCTTATTGCTAGATACTTTTAAAATGAAATCATGGTATTATAGTGAACTTGCTGACCCCAGTACATGGCAATAAAACAAAGCATAGATGTGAAGGGAACAAAAATCAGGAGCTTGCAGGTTGCTTGTTTGGTGCTTTATCCTGCAGCCTCCCTGCTGGGCCCTCAATGAGACTGGAAGCAAAAGTGAGGGGTCCAGCCTGAGTGCACGAATACTTCTACCCGGGTCAATAACTGCTGCTTTGACCCAGGAAATAAGGCCACATGCAGATGGGAGGAGCGCTTGTGCAGTTGGAGAACAAAACGATGTTCAGTGACGGTTTGCTCAATTCGGGACAATTAAGATTGGATACTTACTAGCAGATGCTATAGCTCAATTAATGGATATACGCTCTAATGAGATATTTGTGGAACAATGGGAATTAAGATACACACGAATTGAGCATTTTAAATGTTGCCATCTTCAACATGATAGCACGCACTTATCTGCAAAGACATATAAACTGTTATATAATGGCTTAATACATTAGTTATTAAGAATTTTTAAGTAGAGTCAAGATATAGAAGCAGGCTGACATAAAAAAGGGGGGCAGAGCTACAAATTGTGGAGTCCTCCAGCACAACAGTCATTTATTAGTTGTTACACTTTTTTTGTAACCTATAATAATGTGCCTATAATCTGCACAAACAACAATTTACATACCTCCATTTCAATATGTTATAAAGACATTTCTGGGTTACATTTAACATTTAATTGTTAAAAGATTTAAATATTGGAATTGGACTGTTTTTATTAACTAATTTAGACATTCCCTGTATAATAGAAAGATAGTTGCTGTCAATAATGGTCTACACTAGATATAGTAAAACTCTGGCATCCTTTCATGACCTTCATTAATACTGGATGATGCTCTGTTTTTCTGTCTCTCTGAATAATTAAAAGTCTGTATTGTATTGGCTTTACTCATGTTTGTTCTTGTAGTTGTTCGTTAACAACTACTTCAACACCATTTTGGGACACTGAAATTCAAACTGCTTGTAATATATTGTGGTGCAAAATTAGGTTTATCCTCTTATTGACCTTGCTGGTCACACCTAATTATAAAACAGGCAAACAATCAGATCAATCTGGATCCTGTTGGTCTTTGGGCATAACGAGGTTTTCAAGGATCAACCATAGGATGTAAGTTCAATAATCAATTTATAAAGAGTTTAAAAGGTTATAATATGCATTGAGCTTTAAAAAATGTACTTTCAGATTTTACCAGAGGTATCAAAAGTACAAAAGTGAGAGTGTCAACTTAACCATTTTACTCAAGTAAAATTGTAAAAGTACCATTTCTAAAACTCTAAAACTGCTAAAAACATAAAAGTAAAAGTAATGCAGGATAAAATTTTAAGGATAGATGCTTTAAACCTTTGGTTACTGCAGTACCCTATTAAAGGAGCATTCTTCTACAATTCTTGAAGACAATTTCCTTATACTTTAGTTTCTTGGTTATATAACTAATGGTAACAGTGTCAAATTTAACTTTACATCATCTTGAAAAAATTATTTATTTTGGTATGTGGTGAACAACAAGTTGGCGCAGTACGGAGTCCAACCACAAAGAAATTAATTGTCTGAATGAAACCGATTAATTTTTAAGTTTTTTTGTTTGCTTTTTTAAATACTAGCAGCCAGAAACGAGGATGAGCTTAAATGAAATAAAACTAACGAGTCTATATTTAAAATCTAAAGAGTAGAAAGTAGAGATAATTGCAAAAAAATGTAAGGAGTAGAAGTAAAAAGTAAAAAATACTCCAGTAAAGTATAAATAGCCAACATTTCTACTTAAGTGAGGTAACAAAATATTTGTACTTTGTTAGTCAACACTTCTGAATTTTACTGTGATGACCTACAACTTCCTTCATGGGATAATTTATGTTTTTATTATAAAAACAGTTATGTATAGCTATGGGGAGCAAGATAATCATATTTTTATAAAAATATTTCACAGATAAAAACATGAAAGCTGGGTTTGCAGCTGTATTTAGCCACTTCACTCCGATACTCCTAAATAAAAATACAGTACACAAACAGCTGACTAAAGAATACACATTAGTACTTAGACTCCACTTTTTTGACATTCAGTTTCGGTATATTTTGTGCATGTCTCTAAATGCATCTGACAATGGTAGGCGAATATGTGCACCTAAATGCCACATATCATCAATCAAGCCATTCCCCACCACAAATCACTGACATAGAGAAACAGCATCAAGCTCCAGGCATACAGCAAAGATAGGAAAGCTGATGAGAGTTGATTGGAATACAGCTGGAGCTCAATAAGGTGCTGGAGTGGAGGTTGACCCTTCGGTAGGAGAACCACAGCTACTATGGTTCATATTTTAAAGTGGCCCAGTCAAAGTTCAGATCTAAAACTGATTTAAACACTCTTGGAAAGGCTTTAAAATAGTGCTTTACAGATGCTTTTCAATAGACTAATGCAACTTAAGGTCTTTTACAAAAAGGAGTTGGAAACAAAGCAGGCTGAGTGGAGTGGAGCCAGCAGTACAGTCTGTGGAAAAGTGGCATTAAGGTGTTTACAAAAAGCATTGAGCGAAAGGAGCAGAATACAAATGCACCGAAGACTTTAAAAAGGACTTAAAATCAATATATCCATTTCTTCCTCCTTTTCAGTTATGTATGTTTTCTTTGTCAAAGGTTGGAATGGGATGTAAATGTCTGTTGAATTGCTGGTTTTTAATTTGCCTGTGTTTATGTGCTCCTCAGGTGGGATGCAAAGCCAGCTTGGTGTTTTTCCATTACTTCATCATGGCCAACTTCTTCTGGCTACTGGTGGAAGGCCTTTACCTTCACACTCTGCTGGTCATCATCTTCTCTGACAACCAGCACTTCATCATTTACATGTTTATCGGCTGGGGTAGGTACCATTTTTAGGTTAAAGGCAAACCAAACCACTGCATCCATTTGATTTGTTTCACTGTGTAAATTGCGAACTAAAACTGTACCACATTTAATGTGCGACAGGGGTGTCCAAGTACTGCAACTTTTTGATGCATCTTCTCCAACACACCTGAATCTAACGTCTGAATTCCCTCAGCAGGTCATTCAGCTCAGTAGAAACCTGCTTTGGATTTTGGAGATCTAAAAAGGAATATTTTCTGGGATGAAATATAAATTGACAGAACCAAACTGAATAGCAACAGATTTTCAAAACCGGATTTAAACTGATATATTAGTAAAACTTTGTTCTTCTTATTCCGTGCATGGCTATGTTTAACTATATGTCCAAAACAAAAATTATAGCTGAGACTAATGGAGTAAGCAGATATTAAAAGACAGTGCTCCTTGGCAGTCGCTATGAAGATTAATTGCAGTTTTTCTCAGTTTATAACATAAACAGACATAAAATTCCATTAACACAAATTCTTCCGTCTGCACACAATTCTCTAAAAACAGAACTCTGTCATCAAAATAGTGCATCAAAATCATGGCTTACACAATTCTCCCAAAACTGTTGCACAGTGTTGGAAAAGGGGTTATTTATGGCACATTTAAACAAATAGTCATAGCAGCGTTTTTGAAAAAGTGTCTGATTATTTCGCTTATAGTAGTTAACAATCAGGGACTGTAATGGTCCCCTCTGACTCAATTATTTTGTTCTACTTGTCATTTTTGGAGGCATAATTTTTTACTGAAAACACAGTGAGAGAGCAATGTCTTGTACTATGCATTGCAGTGTGCTAATTTTGATCAGTGGGTGCAGATTTGCAGAAGAAGGAGTCTTTATTTGTCATTGTTCCTCCAGGGTACAAAAACATTTTTAGCAGCGCAAGACAAAATAAAATTAAACACGCTGGCAAATAGTGCGATACAAAAAGTAAAAAAAAAAAAAAGGAACGTGCCATTACAGAAGGAAAAATATATAAAAGAATATTTACACAGAAATTGAGCTAAAATGTTTGCTTTTTACGAAAAGTGCACTTTTAACACAAGTGTGCAATGCTTTATGAATTGTGTTCAATTTGGAGGAAATTTTTTCAGTATTTTGGAAATGTTTGCTATTTTTCAGGAACAGTGTTTTATCAATTGAGAAAAACTGTGAACTTATGTTTTGTTTTTTAAAGAAGGTAAAAGAAGCACTTATAATAAAAGCATTTAGCAAATATTTGTCTGCATATCTTGCACGTCATCAGTTAGAAGAAAAAAAAAACTGTGATTAAAATAGAGCAAAGTCAAAGTAGTATAAAGTTTGAGTTTTTCTCAGGGGTTTGACCTGCAGTGCATCTTTTTCATTCAGGAATCCCTACTGTGTTTGTCTCTGTATGGATAATGACAAGAACTTACCTGGAAGACACAGGGTAAGTTCCGCTATTACCCAAAACGTTTCTAACTGACTCAGCTATTATATAAGGTATATACACTCACCGGCCACTTTATTAGGTACCCCATGCTAGTAACGGGTTGGACCCACTTTTGCCTTCAGAACTGCCTCAATTCTTCGTGGCATAGATTCAACAAGGTGCTGGAGGCATTCCTCAGGGAGTTTGGTCCATATTGACATGAGAAATATCACACAGTTGCCGCAGATTTGTCGGCTGCACATCCATGATGCAAATCTCCCGTTCCACCACATCCCAAAGATGCACTATTGGATTGAGATCTGGTGACTCTGGAGGCCATTTGAGTACAGTGAACTCATTGTCATGTTCAAGAAACCAGTCTGAGATGATTACAGCTTTATGACATGGCGCATTATCCTGCTGAAAGTAGCCATCAGAAGTTGGGTACATTGTGGTCATAAAGGGATGGACATGGTCAGCAACAATACTCGGGTAGGCTGTGGCGTTGCAACGATGCTCAATTGGTACCAAGGGGCCCAAAGAGTGCCAAGAAAATATTCCCCACACCATGACACCGCCACCACCAGCCTGAACCTTTGATACAAGGCAGGATGGATCCATGCTTTCATGTTGTAGACGCCAAATTCTGACCCTACCATCCGAATGTCGCAGCAGAAATCGAGACTCATCAGACCAGGCAACGTTTTTCCAATCTTCTATTGTCCAATTTCGATGATCTTGTGCAAATTGTAGCCTCAGTTTCCTGTTGTTAGCTGAAAGGAGTGGCACCCGGTGTGGTCTTCTGCTGCTGTAGCCCATCTGCCTCAAAGTTCGACGTACTGTGCGTTCAGAGATGCTCTTCTGCCCACCTTGGTTGTAACGGGTGGTTATTTGAGTCACTGTTGCCACTGATGTCAGAAACTCATACAAGTTTCTTAAGTTTCCGAGAAAAAATAAGTCCAAAGCATCACAGATCCTCCACTGTACAGGAGTTTTTTTTTTTCCTATTATGCTGTTGTTTTACCACCCCATGTGCAGGCGGTGTCTGATGAAAAACTGTAAAAAGCCATATTCCCAGAGTCGAGGATTTTAAATGTATTAAGGAGCCAGGAAGCCTGAAGAAGAACTATGATTTTCAACTTGTTTCTACGATGGCCAGAGAGCAGCAGTTTGCAAATGGGAGCAGTTGGGAGAGACTGAACCTGCCCCAACTTCCGAATGCATTTAACAAACTATCATGTTTCTATATTAATTTCATTTTTATGAGTATGAGTTTTCTGTAGCATCAGAACATTTACAGGTTGCTTTTTACCATAAATATGCCTTGCTCTGCCCCTTTAGGTGCTGGGAAAGGAATGAAAACCCCATTCCCAACTGGGTGATAAATGGCCCAATAGTGTTCTCCATTTTGGTAGGTTGATGTTTGTCATTTCATTTTAATAACTGGCAGATTCATGAAGGTAAACATGACAATATTTTTTATTGACATAAAGAAAATCCTTAAATTTATGTATTTTGCTTTGATAGGTAATATCTATTTTCTTTTTGTGTAACACTTATTTATAAAGTTGTGTTTTTTTTTTCTTCAAAACTTGCAATCTTTGAAATAAAGAAACAGGAATGACATTGAGGTTCACTTCTTTCGTAGTTTTAATGAGTTTAATGAAAGAGCCAAAGCACCATGCAGCAGTGAGCATTGTGTGCAGCATCCAGCAGCTATAGTTTAAGGTGTGAACAATCCTCGTCTAAAGGCATTAAAGTCACTGGACTTCCTGCCGGTTTTATTCCCCCATCCTGCTGACTGATGTCCCACAGTCAGCTTTCCCAACCTTTAAAGGTCTCGGCAGGAAGGAGTTATTCTCAGTAAGAATCCAGTTTAGTCATTAAACTTATGTATGCTGAAACAATAGGAGTGGAATGTAGTTTAATCATTTTCAGCTTAGAAGTGGCTTAAATTAGGGAACAATAAAAATAGCATTATCGTTTTTTTTATATGCTTTCGTGGCAGAGTAACTTTTGTGATTAAAATTACATTTTTGTCAAGGAAAATTTAAAGGATTATTTCAAAAGGTTTCAATGCTACACTTGTGGGAGAAAAATCTATTATTAAATAAAAATATTAGGTTCCAAAATTGAGCACAGCTTTACAATATCTCCTTTTTTGACACTCGTTCCTGTTTATAAACTCACACATAACTTTAGAGACTTTGTGTTTTTCTCCTACTGTATTTATTTATTTCCTGCTCTTCTTCTTTTAGGTTAACTTCATCCAGTTCATCAACATCATTCGGATATTGATCCAAAAGCTCAGATGTCCTGACATAGGCGGCAATGACCAATCACAGTACAGGTACCTCAGAGTAGATCATCCATCCAACGAAATAACAAAAATCATATGTTAATGTTAAAAACAAATTAAATAAAAAAAAAAGTTACTATTTGGTTTACTCATTGTCACACTGTTTGTTACGGTAAAACACAGAAACGCCTAAGTTCACAAACAAATAACCAAAACAAAATATAAAATGGAAAAATAGTGAAAATTTTGCAAACAGGGCTAATTTAATCAGAAAGTCTCTTACTGAATCAAAAGTGAGCTACTGATGTAGAAAAGCGTAGGTTCAAGTATATGACTAGATTTTTTCAAACAGCAGGAGCACGACAGAGATTCTTTTCTTTTTTCACTATTCATGCAATAAATTGTGAATAAAAGCTGACAATATGTGTCAACACGTGTGCGACTAGACCTTCTCAGTCAATCAGATAGGACTCGGTTGAAGGCTTCAGAATCTAAAAAGAGAAAAAAAAAAACTCAGCAGAGACCCTCATTTTTTTTCTCCAAGCTGTCAGAAATGGTTAAAATGGCCGTAACCCTGATTTACCGAAGCAGCATTTCACGATGGAGTCTTTTAAAAATGACAGGACCCTCTGGTTTTGCTGTGTAACAGCTTTAACAGTCGTAGGGAAATCATATTTAAAAGTCAAATCATTGTGCCTTAAACATGTATATAAATCTACTCTTTATCAGATATTGTCCCAAAATTTAGATAATTTCTATTTAAAACGGTCATCTGTCAATCAAAATTTTCGGTCATAGCATCTTGATTCATATGTCACAGCTAATATACGCAACGGTTGAAATAAGAATCCTTTCCCATTGAGTTCCGTCCCAGTGTTCATGGGGATGGACGTCTGTGTCTTCAGCAGGTGTAGAGCTAACAGAACTGGCAGCGTTGCGAGGCAAGGGCTCAAACATGTACAACTGTAAGCCTTCTACACCAAACCAAGCTTCTGCCGTACTAGCGTCCTCCTCCACAACATCTACCTGCCCGCTTTCCTCCTCTAAATAAAAAATGTATGACGAAGGAGACTCATCCACAACCTCTGACAGGCACTGCTCACACTTGAGGCCTATGATTTTCCAGTAGTTGAAGTAAATGCATGAAAATCGTCCTCGTCTAGTCAATCAAGCAAACATTTGCTGATAAACTTTTCCTGTATTAAATGGTAAAATAAATATTTTTTCATGTTACTGGAACCCAAATTACTCACTAGACTCCTCTGTTCAAACTCATTTAATTTCAACAGGCTAAAACAGATCTAGAAACCTTCATGCTTGAAACCGCCAAACTGTCAGGTGACAAAAAAAAACAACTAACATGCTTGCTGTAATTGTGATTTAAACTATAGCTTGGGCTACTGTGTATTGTGTACCATACGATCCGATTCTTCACACTACTTCCTATCACATGTAGTGAAAATGAATAGTCAAGTGAAAGTCTTGTCACTTTTAAATGATAAAAGCTACAGTAAGAAGCATCTCAGCACATCCACTCAACATTTATTAATCCCCTTGCAGGCAGTCAACATTTATCATCTGTTAATCTGCATCATGAGTCAAGGTTTAATCTTATGGAGTCACATATGGATTTGAAGATTAATCAACTGTGTTTACTGTCATTTTGTTGAATGCGTGGAAATGATATTTTGAAATATGCTTCGTATGGCTGTTTTGTAGTTAGAAGGTTTGGAGTTTTCATGGTCCTGTAGAAAAACAAATCATGTGACTGCTGTTTCTGCCTTTTTGTTGCTGATAATGGTGCTCATTGTCTTCTATTCATCTCTGCTTTTAATTTAACCTATCATCACTGCATGCAGTACATTACCGTCAAAGCGTCCTCATTGAATTACAGCAGGACATTGCCTCTATCCTCATCGCTGCGGCTGCACCATGTTGCTGCAGGCCCATCATGGCTGGCGCATCGTGCCCTCACTGCATCACGGGAGGGCCATCAGTGTGCATGATGGCACACACAGCACATAATACCATGTGCATTGCGCCTGCAGCTCATGTCAGGCTCATTACAGCAGGTCTAGACCAACAGCTCATCACTGCAGTTATGACACAGGGCGTCACTGCTGCTGGTCTCATAGGTTATCAAGTATGTAAAGTTCAATGCTAGCCATCTTAATGATGCAACCTCAAAGTAATTATTCTTGTGAGAATACTCAAGATTACTGCAGTAGATCATTGCCATTAATATGGCTCCAACACAGGGGACATTACTGAGATTGTGAGCGATAATTTGCTCCATTCATTCAACTAGTTCCTATAGAGTTTCTCCATGTACCTTACTTCCGGCTCTCATTTTTTGATGCTATCATTATCCAAATCATTTTAAAACAGGTCTACGAGGATGTTCCCTAGCATGGTTTTCCCAATTCCTAGCCCCCCTTCTATCCCTCAGTTTGTTGTTTTTTTTAATTTTCTTTAAAATCATTCAGTGAATCTGCTTTCAAGGTTACTGTACTTCAAAGAATCATCACTCCAACAGCATGGTCACTGATCTTCTTCGGCTTAAGCTTAAGCATCCCCCATCTGTCCGCACCTCTCTTCCTTTTTAAGTTCTCAACGCTCCCTTAGCCTATTCGTAAGCATGATCAGCATTGACTGGTGGTGGTAAGCCATTTTCTTTTACTCTCTCCTCATTGAGCCTGTTTCTGCTTTTCTTCACGCCCGTAGGCTCTCAGACCATCAAGGCAGACTCATCCAGTGCACAATCACTCAGCCAGCTCTTATCATTTCTTAATCATTATCTTCCATATCAGTGGTGCATCCATATGCGCGAATAACTGGTTTCACCTTTACTCTCGATCAGTCTTTCTCTATTTACACCTTTCTGTATCGACACGTCTCTATCCATCAGCCTCTCTCATATCAGTGTGATTAACTGTGGTGATCACCATCAGTGCGATCGACTGTTTAGCTCACCATCAGTGCGATCGACTGCGTTGCTCACCATCAGTGTGATCAACTGTGTTGCTCACCATCAGTGTGATCAACTGTTTTGCTCACCATCAGTGCGATCAACTGTGTTGCTCACCATCAGTGCGATCGACTGCATTACTCACCATCAGTGCAATCAACTGTTTTGCTCACCATCAGTGCGATCAACTGTTTTGCTCACCATCAGTGCGATCACCTGTGTTGCTTACCATCAGTGAGAACAGCTGTGTTGCTTACCATCAGTGTGATCGGCTGTGTTACTCACCATCAGTTCGATCAACTGGCTGCTTACCATCAGTGTGATCAACTGTGTTACTCACCATCAGTTCGATTAACTGGCTGCTTACCATCAGCGTGATCAACTGTGTTGCTTACTATCAATGCGATCAACTGTATTGCTCACCATCAGTTTAATCAACTGGCTGCTTACCATCAGTGTGATCAACTGTGTTGCTCACCATCAGTTTAATCAACTGGCTGCTTACCATCAGTGTGATCAACTGTGTTGCTCACCATCAGTTTGATTAACTGGCTGCTTACCATCAGCGTGATCAACTGTGTTGCTCACCATCAGTTCGATTAACTGGCTGCTTACCATCAGTGTGATCAACTGTGTTGCTCACCATCAGTTCGATTAAGTGGCTGCTTACCATCAGTGTGATCAACTGTGTTACTCACCATCAGTTCGTTTAACTGGCTGCTTACCATCAGCGTGATCAACTGTGTTGCTCACCATCAGTTCGATTAACTGGCTGCTTACCATCAATACGATCAACTGTGTTGCTTACCATCAATGCGATTAACTGGCTGCTTACCATCAGCGTGATCAACTGTGTTACTCACCATCAGTTCGATTAACTGGCTGCTTACCATCAGCGTGATCAACTGTGTTGCTTACCATCAATGCGATTAACTGGCTGCTTACCATCAGTGTGATCAACTGTGTTGCTCACCATCAGTTCGATTAACTGGCTGCTTACCATTAGCGTGATCACCTGTGTTGCTTACCATCAATACGATCAACTGTGTTGCTCACCATCAGTGCCATCAAACTGTGTTGCTCACCATCAGTTTAATCAACTGGCTGCTTACCATCAGTGTGATCAACTGTGTTGCTCACCATCAGTTCGATTAACTGGCTGCTTACCATCAGTGTGATCAACTGTGTTGCTCACCATCAGTTCGATTAACTGGCTGCTTACCATCAGTGTGATCAACTGTGTTGCTCACCATCAGTTCAATCAACTGGCTGCTTACCATCAGTGTGATCAACTGTGTTGCTCACCATCAGTTCAATCAACTGGCTGCTTACCATCAGTGTGATCAACTGTGTTGCTCACCATCAGTTCAATCAACTGGGTGCTTACCATCAGTGTGATCAACTGTGTTGATCACCATCAGTTCAATCAACTGGCTGCTTACCATCAGTGTGATCAAGTGTGTTGCTCACCATCAGTTCAATCAACTGGGTGCTTACCATCAATACGATCAACTGTGTTGCTTACCATCAATGCGATCAACTGTGTTGCTCACCATCAGTGCCATCAACTGTGTTGCTCACCATTAGTTCAATCAACTGGCTCCTTACCATCAGTGTGATCAACTGCGTTGCTCACCATGGCTGTGAGCCATTGCGTTGCTCAGCCTCAACATCAGTGTGGTCAATGTACTATTGTAACTCTCCACAAATATTTATCCCTTCGCTCCCTGGCACCAAGTCTAGTCTCTAGCTCATCCCCGGCACCTTTTTTTTTTGGAGGGGGGCTAATTTTTTTCCTAGTTTACTTCCACCAGGGCCAATGCCTCAAATAGCTTATTTAATTCCTTCAATAAATGTTTTTGTAATTTGTGAGAGTCTGAGAAGTCATCCAGTCCATGTCTGGAGTTGGAGAAAATGCAAACAAACAAAAAAGCCAGCATCTGAAATTCAGAACCTAATAGCAGATTATGGAGTCTTTTTTTTTTTTTTTTTTTTTTTGTCTTTACTTATTTCTAAATTTTAAATCACTTTCTTTGTTTCTAAAATCTATCTTCTTCATCTCTCTCTTGGTTCCTAGACGGCTGGCTAAATCCACCCTCCTTCTCATTCCTCTGTTTGGGATTCACTACGTGGTGTTTGTGTCTCCCAACCAGTCCATCACAGAAGATTATAAGATATTTTTTGACCTAGCTCTCGGCTCCTTCCAGGTGTGCTACCAGCTGAGTCTTCAAAGAACAGTGGTATTAATTTGGCTTTTTTAAATCCTTATTTTACCTAATAGAGATGTTTCTGTGGGTTTTTTCCCCCAGGGTCTGGTGGTGGCCATCTTATACTGTTTCCTGAATAGTGAGGTGAGTGATCACTAATGTGTAATAGTTTCAAAATGTCCAATGGTTTTATTTGTATATAGTTTTGACTCCTGATTTTAAATTGTATTTTAGTTTTTGCTTAGTTAATTAAATTTTATGCCTATTTGTTACATAGTTTAGTTTGGTTTTTATTTGTTTTAAATGCTTATTTTTAATTTAGTTCTTAATAGTTTGAGCTAAATTTTCATATTATAGTCTTTTTATGTAAAAAAAAAAAAAACGTGCATACCAGGGGCAAGACAAAAAAAAAAATCTGGAATGAAAACCCCAGATAAGGACAGACCGCTGCAGCAACAAAAATGACATAACTGCAGGAACATGCCATTTCCTGTCGAAATGTGCTACAACAGGAAAAAAAAGTGAAAACACCAACTGGAAACTCGACCTCATTATTAATGTGTTATGATAAAAGCACAAATGAAAAGTTAAAACATTCTCCATTAAAATTCAGTTAGTTTTCATTAGTTTAGTAAACTCTTATCAGAGTTTTCAATTAATTTTACTTTTTTTCAGTTAGTAATTTTTTTATTACTTGTTTTCATTATTACCTACAGAAGAGGATTAGGGTCACTGAAAAAAATTAACTGATTATCAAATATTATTTCAGTTTAATATGGGAAAAAAGTCAGAATTCTGACTTTAATATCAGAATTTTTGGATCTTAATGTAGATGGGCACCATGAAGGAAGAGGTGTGGGAGCACTCAGCTTCACTGACAAAGATGTGAGTTATTTGGGAGGGCCAGTAACACATTGGTGGAAATGATGGAATTAGGTGACTTTTTACGTGCCCAAGGGGTCCCCAGTGATACTATTTCATTAATAGAAGAGCAGAGGGTGATTAAAACAAGAAAGCTAGATTAGTCTCTAGAACAGACATGGCTATGGCTTGATGCTAACATATTTGAATTAAGCCACAATTCTGAGATCAGAGTCAGAATTTTTTGTAAAAAGACAGAATTCTGAGATTAAAGTCAGAATTCTGACTTTTTTTATCATGTTATACTGACATAAAATTTAAAAATCAGTTAACTTTTAATTTTTTTCAGTGACCCTAATTCTCTTCAGCACTTACCAGAGGTCTTTTCTAATTTAAACATTTTAAAGGCATCAAATATTTAACCCATACGGCTTAACACAATAGAAACTCTGTTTACAATTGACTCAATTAAGTTTTCTTATAATTCATTTTAATAAACATGTGAAACTTAGTCAGGAGTTACTAGATATAAAAAAAACACATAAAAAGCACAGAAAACACACAAATGTTAGGAGATCCGAAGGCTGATTGATCAGGCTGTCTAGCACAGCTTTAAGGCAAATAAAATATCTTGAATCTTGTTTTCAAAACAATTCGTAAAATATTATTTTTTTTATTTCAAATACAGGTTTTTAATTATAGAGATTTAAAGTGAGTCTTCTTTGTAGCATTATTGGACTTTAATACTCAGGATTTTAATGACCTTTAAATGGATGAATCTGGGTGATGGCTAGAAACCTGATGAAGTCATTTCATGGTGACTTTTTTACTAGATTTTTTTATGTATTTTTTTCCTCAGGTTCAGGGGGAGCTAAGGCGGAAATGGAGAAGCATGTGTCTAAACTGCCACCTAAGCAGAGCTAATCACTTCAACAACAACTTCTCCACCAACTTGGGTTCAGAGCAGATGATGCAGTTCCAGCGCACCACCAGAGCACAGTCACTCCTGCAGTCTGAGACAACAGTGCTGTGAGAACATGAGAGCTACGACTGATGCAAAAACAAACAGATAATAGAAAGAATGCAGTCTGCAGGTTGACCTGGGTCAATTTGGTTTTCCAAATTAAAATATACGTGGCCTGAAAAGAAACATGACATGGGAGCGAACTGCATTTTTTATTAGAAAATGTGGATTTTAGCTTCAGATATAACTGCAGCTGTTTTCTAAGTGCTTTGAGCTGCGAGAGCTCATGGTCTAGACTGCTTTTCCTGAAGTCAGGGACAAAGGTGAGGTTTAAAATAACACCTACTGAATGTTTTAAACAGGGTGTTTTTTTCGAATGAAATATATTTTAGTGTATTGGTTACTGGTACACAGAGGTAGCTTTTTGGTTTTTCTGTTTACAGTTCAAAAGTGGCATTAATATTATAGAAAGAGGAATATTTCGGAAACAGATTCTGATCATTTAAATACGCAGATTTAATTCTATATGAATATTTCTTGGTGTGCACCCTGTGGTTTTTTTCAGCTGTGCATGTCGAATGTTAAATTCAGAATCCTTCTCAAAAAGCACAAGTAAAAACAAAGCAGCTGTTTCTGCTAAAAACAGGATAGAAGCAATAATGACTGAAGAGTGGATCTTTTTAGTTATGCAGGGGCACAATGGAAAAAGTGTCTCTTTAGAAGTATATAGGCCGACTGGACAGAAGGAGAAGCGACTGTTGTAGAGCTTTCTGTTAAAGACTTTTCATAGCTGGTTAATGAAACGAGACTCCAACCTCCACAATTAGCAGGCAAATTTATAAACTGGTTTGCTTTTATTGCTTTGCTAACTTGATGCATGTTACCATTTGCCAGTATTTTCCCCACCTATCTGTTGCTTATACTGAGCTGTGGGCAAATTATAACATTGTATGATGGAGATATTGCTGTATTTTTTCCAGATGCTTGGAACCAACAGTGGTTATTCAAACTGGGCGCCATAAATCCCAGATTTACCACTTTTCTGATTCTTCTAAACAATCGTCTTCATAAATTGACCAATCATCAAGAAGCTTTGAGGATAACACATACTAAATATATTAAATGAGGTGCCTAAGGTGCAGTTTTTATTTTTTTTGTATATTTAAGCTAAAAAAAAAAAAAATCTTAAATTGAATTGGTAAATTGGCTTTACATTGATATACAGCTGTAATGTTATGACATGAGAAATGAAATGTTATGCTAAACAATATTGCAAAGAAATAGTTGTTAAATCGATGCAGTTTCCATTGCTTGCAAATAATGTTCAAAACATTAACAGTAGAAAAGAAAACCTCTGTATTACCTACTTTGGTTAAATTCTTACAAAGGTAGATGTGTGAAATTACTGTTTTTGTTATTTAGTTCAGTAACCTGAACTGGACATACGGTGAACATATTTTCTATAAACACTATAACTAAAATCTTGTCTTTCAGCTCAACACCCAAATCAGTAGTGCATTTTAAAGTTTTGAAAAAAAAACTGTCTCTGATTGGTCGAGATTCCTGTCCTTATTTGGACTGTTTCTTCTTACAACATCCATATTTGACCCAGGTCAGCTAATGAGCTCAGATGGTCGGAGCTTATCTATATTAAACTGCTGAATTGTTTCAGAAATGGTTCTGGAGAATTGTATCATTTCAATGTACATTTAGTGCTGATTTTGTTCAGATGCTGTGCATGTTTAATAATCCTTCTCTGCTTTCATGGTTCAGACTGAAGATATTATTTGTCTGTAAAAAGGAGCTGATTATAACATGTCTACCAGGAGCTCTCATTGAGGCCTGTGGTGTAATAATCGACATTAGGAACAGAGCTCACATTCAAACTGCATTCCTACCAGATTTTTCATTTTATTGTGGTGTTTGCTCAAAAGGGAGGGGATTTGCTTCCTAAATGTGCATGCTTAGGCTGAGGTTTGTTTGTTTTTTTTGTAAAATCCATTTCAGAAAGACATGAGAGAAATTCCTCAACCGTAGCTCTTGAGGAGGAGTTTCGCATGAACCTAATTTCTTTTTATGTGCTTTTATCTTTCTGTGTAGATATTTATTCACACCCACAGCACTTCTGAAGAGGATGGTTGGTGCATCTAAAAAATTAAACATGTGCAGTCAGAAAAACTGTTTTTGTTCTGATGAGTAATATTCACATTTTCAAAAATTGAAGTTTCCTTGAAAAAGAAACGCTATCAAAGTTCAACAGAAGGACTAACAGAATGATTATGTTGGTTGTTATTTATAGTTTTTTTCCCCCATATAGATAGCAAATGAAAACAACTCTGTAGGAGCAGCACTGTAACTGCATTTTATGTTCAATACACATCCATGGTGTTTTCTTGTTCTCCTCTTGTTTACATGTCTTCGGAAACGTTCAGCTTATCAGAAAATGATTTTGCTGATTTAGATCTGTTTTTAGTTCTATACCGACCGCAGCTCTAAGAAAATGTGCTTCCTCCACAGTTCAGCAGGTGGATCAGTCTGCTGCAAGTCCAGGAGCCCCTTTATTTTCATATTGGCATGTTTTAAATTTTAAAACTTAATTTTAAGATTTAAAAGAAAGATCACATCAGGATTATTTCTGAGATTTTTATTTGTAATAAAAATGTATTTAGCTTTTTAACTGAGGCAGTGTTAACTGAACTTTTATTTAATTTATTCATCCATTTTTGATCTATATTACTGCTGTGTTTCTTGCTTGAGAGTAATACAATTTATTTCCATTGTTTTGCATCCTAAAATCAAAGAATTGTTTCTTAGTATCCTGATTTGGAGTCATAAATACCATTAGATAGTTGAAAATTGGGCACTAAACAGAGCAAAATGATTCATACCCTTCTTTTTCCTTCAACCGAAACATTGGGCTCTCAATGTAAACAAGGCAATCATTTGCGAAATGATAAGAAGCAGTGTAAAAGGATTTTAATTTAAAAATATATGTATATTTTTAAACACATTTCAGTTAAAACTTTGTATATATCAAAAATCTGTGGATATTTCTTATTTGGCATAACAGAACTTATACACTTATACCTGCAGATCAGCATTTTGGATGTCTGCACTGGTATTTTGATGTTTAATATTCAGTAATGAGCTCCAAGTCTTAAAAGTTTGCAGGCCTTCTTACTATCACCCTAATCTTTGGTTCCTTTCACATATTACGTTTTAGATTCAACCTTAAACTATAGTAGGGCCACTACAAAATCTAGATATAGGTCTGAATCCCAGAAACAAGTAAACATTTGAATATAACTTTAAACCTGACACTGCCATGGTCATTATTATTTTGGTGTAATTGTATATCTTGAAATATAATAGATTCCTTGACTATATTGGAGGCATGAACGTTTTAAGGCTCTTAGGTTTTTTAATGTACTTTTTCTTTGGATTCAGATAAATGTTTAGCAACAGCTATGCTGTAACTAGATTTTTATATTTGCCTCTTTTTTGGCTTTTTTTAAAAACTTGTAACAAAGTTAAAAATTTTGTTTTTTCTTTAAAGGTAACGAGAAAATGTGTTAACTCAGAAAAAACAGGGAAAGACTGACACTTTACTTAAGGCATACAGCATAAAAAATATGGGGTGTTATTTGTTTAATTTCACATAATTTATATATGCTTCAAACTCTTTCAGTGCCAATAGTTTTTTGTTCGTACCTAAAATGCATTCACAGTAAGTAGAGAAAGATTGTGCCTTAAATTAGTCACTAAACTAGAATCTTGGACTGATCCTCACTGGCACTCAAAAAACTTGAGCATAAATCCATTGAAACAAAGCAGCTAGAATAAATGTTTTGATTTTAATATTACAACTATTTAATTTAATATAAATAGTAAAAGTCAGTCCAATTGGACCTAGACCAGTTAGACTTAATTGTTTACACATTTATCCTACAAACATTTGATAACCAAGCATGGTACCAAGTGGAATCCTATAAAATTGTACAGTTTTGGAGAAAAGTATATCACTAAAAAAACAATTTCAGGTATATTTTGCAATGGGTACATAGGTAAATAACTCTACAGGAAAGTAACTCGCTATAGTGTCTTAAACTGATGCGAAATAGTTCAGCCTGAACTAATAATGCTCAAAAATTGCATAGTTTTACCTTCTGAGTTTTTGTTGATCTGCCACCACTCAAGCTTTTTTTTTTACTTTAAGAGACCAAGGGTCCATATGTACGACGGAGTATTAGGGCCACACATGAAGAGAAAAAATATTTTTGCCATGTCGACATTAAACTCAACATTTCGAGAATAAAGTTGAAATGTCATGTTGAGTTTAATCTCGACGTGTCGACTTTAAACTCGCCCTGTCGACTTTAAACTCGCCATTTCGAGAATAAAGTTGATATATCGTGGCGACTTCAATCTCGACATTCCAAAGTTTGGAGAAAAGAGCAACCGCGCTCCACAGCTGCAGTCTGCGTTTTAAGAGTGAAGGTAGTCTTTGACGTGCTGCAACTGTATAATCATCACAGGAAGCGGTGGCCTATCAATAATAAAGTAACGTCCTTCCCAATGCTTACCCAGGCACGCAGTTCTGAATTTGAGAACATGTCAGTCATTTCAACTTTATTCTCGAAATGGCGAGTTTAAAGTCGACAGGGCGAGTTTAAAGTCGACATGTCGAGTTTAATCTCGTCATGGCAAAAATATTTTTTCTCTTCATGTGTGGCCCTAATACTCCGTCGTACATATGTGTACAAACACAGAAGAAAAGAAAACAAAAAAATATTCCTTTTTTTTTAACATACAGCTGTATGCTTAGGAAAAGTGTTACCACAAGTTTTGCATGAGTATAATAATTTCACAGAAGTTTCACAAGTTGTCAAGATGAAATTCTACTACATAGAACACTTTGTTTTTTTAATGTTAATATTCAATGTATATTATTAATCAATGGCTTTCTGAAACGATGTATTTGTAATAAGACACAATGAATGTCATTTAAAATATGATAAAGGCTGTCCTTTTAAGCAATGTACGTTGTGATTGTAGCTTTTTGATGTTTTATGTTATATTGAAAATATATCAAACAGGATATAGGAAAAATATGAGGTGGATGATTTTATGCTTATTGGAGATGAAGTATGCATTGGTTTCTTGACTTTGTATTATTCAGATTAAAGTATGGCAATACAAACATAAAGGCAACCATTGTGACGCAAAAGAAATCTTGTTTTCC